GCCTGCCTCTGCCTCCTGAGTGCTGGGATTGAAGGTGTGCACCAGCACCGCCCAACCTACCATCCCGGTTTGGGCTTTTTGGAGCTGGTCTGGGACTCCCAGTTCTCTTATCTCTTGACTCTGAGCATGAGGAACACACCATGTCTCCTCTGGCTTTTGCCCCTTTCCTACCTACATGACTTCAGATGGTCACTCAGATCTCCCAAGTCAACTTCCTTACTAGCAAACGGGGAGGCAATGCACACATTGGGGGCCGAGGACACTGGTAGAAGTCGATCCTCTCTTCCACCATAGGAGTCCCAGGGATCAAAATCAGGTTGTCAGACTTGGTGGCAGGTGTCTTTACCTGCCCAGCCATCTCACCCACCCTGGAGGTACAAATCTAGTCTCAGTCCTATATAAGGGACTGAGATGGAGCTGGCAGGTAGCCCATGGCCAAAACCAGTGGGCGTTGTAGTCTGATTTCTCCCAATCCTCACCTGTGAGGGGCCCACGGCCCTGGCCCTTTCCTTCATGCTACCCTTTACCGTGACCTGTTGCTTGCTGTTTAGTCTCATTTCACAATCCCAGCCTCTGTGCATGGACAAAAGGGCTCAGGGATCCCCAACAGGCACCCTTCTACACCCTTGGGAGACTGGAATAACTGAAGTAGTTGCTGTTTGTCCAGTTGCAACCCAGGATGGTTGGAGCATCCCTGCCAGCCTCAGGACCACTGTGAGCAGCCTCACCTACACGCAGCTGTGTGCCAGGAAAGGCCAGCGTGGGCACATGCACATAGGAGTCATCGTGCACACACAAACGCAGCTGGTTAGGATCATCACCTGCATAATGAAAACGATAACCTCGTCTTTGACAATCTGGCACAGTGCCAGCTGCAGGCACAGGATCTGAGGGACATGCAGGAGGGTGGCAAGTTTAAGGCCAACCTGGACAGCATAGTGAGATGAGACCCTGTCTCTGAAACATAAAATAATCAAAACCTAAAAGTTGTTTTCACCTTGGTAGGTTTATAGGGAATTAATTATACAGCCGCTGGGATCCATGTTGGCACTTTGTGCAAAGGAGATACTAATTCATGGCAGGAGAGGTCTTAGGATTTGTGGATGGCCTTAGTGGGTGGTATATGCACTGGGATTATATGAATAGTATATGTCCCAACTCTGGGACAGTCCATACCTATAATCAGATTTTTATTTACTTATATTTAAAGAGTTTACTTTAATGTTATTCCAGACCCTCCCTGTCTCCTTTTTAAAAATTATTTATTTTTATTTTATGTACATTGGTGTTTTGCCATGGGTGTTGTAACACCCTGGAAATGGTGTTACAGACAGTTGTGAGCTGCCATTTGTGAATCAAACCCAGGTCCTCTGGAAGAACAGTCAGTGCTCTTAACCACAGAGCCGTCCCTCCAGTCCTCATAATCAGATGTTTTAAAGAAGTTGACTTTGAAGTTGAGCATGGTGTGGTATGCCTTTAATCCTGGTACTCGAACACTCTGAGGAGAGAATCTGAGTTTTCAGACCAGCCTGGTCTACATAGCAAGTTCCAGGACAACCAGGGCTTCATAGAGACCCTGTCTCAAAAAAAAAAAAAAAAAAAAAAAAAAAAAAAAAAAAAAAAAAAAAAAGAGGAGGAGCTATGGCTTTGGGAAAGGTGGCAGGAGTCCTTACTCCATACTCCACCACAAGCCTATCCTCTGACTTCCACACACACTAGAGCACACTAGCTCACAGCACACATCATGTACACACACAGGAACAATAGACAATAGTAACTTTATGAAAGGGCCAGCCAGCTGGCCCAGCAGATGAAAGTGTCTGTCACCACGTCTGATGATGACAGTTCAATCCCTCGGACCCACACGGTGGAAGGAGAGAACTGACCCCGGCAAGTTGTCCTCTGACCTTCCGTGTATACCATGGCACACGCATGCACGTGTGCACACACACACACTCACTCTTTCTCTCTCTAAAAGACAATAAATAATTTAAAAGCTTTTATAAAGTTGGCCTTGAAAGCTGGGCATGGTGCACACAGCCTTAGTTCCAGCACTCAGGAGGCAGAGGCAGACAGATCTCTGTGAGTTCGAAGCCAGCCTGATCTACAAAGCAAGTTCCAGGACAGCCAGGACTACACAGAGAAACCCTTTCTGGCCGGGGTTACCCTTGAGAATAGACTCATTCAAGTGCTAATCTACAAACATTCATGTGTTTACTAACAAATCCACAGTGTACACATACACATGCATGCACACACACAGATGCCCATGTACTCAGGAGGGATGTATTCATAGACACATGCACAGCACACA